TGCTATTCTGCATAGCTCCTGTGATCATAACAAGACACTATTTTGCCAGCTCAAAAGTTTTTGTGCATTTGGTTGGTCTCTCTTCCCTGCCATTTTCTAACAGTGCAAATATTAGTTGCTTGCAAAACAAACTGAACTCTTCTTTTTCATGGATCCCAGAAATTTCCTTTAGTTGTTTCTTGCCTTTCAAGCTGGTTCATGTTTTGTTAGAGTGGTGTATTTTCTTCCATTAGGTGACAGCAAGTTGGAATATAAACACATGAAAACACGGATAGAACTAATACACAGCAGTTCTTCTATCCCCATTTTTGAGCCACAGGTATTTGCAATCCAGTTTAAGCCTCTAAAGTATTCACGGGTAGAGGTGATTTTATACTTACAATAGATTTATTCTCAGACATGAAAGTTCATTATACTCCTCTTTTTAAATTAGATTACATCCATCTCAGTTCTTTCTATCATGATACTGTACAGGTTCAAATGAACTTAATATAATAAAGAAGAATAAAGACCACACCTTAAAATGAACAGTTCTGTAAAACCAAGTGACTTGAATACACCGGTAGCTACATGTATCAGACCTAAATGATCTATCTTAAACCTTGCCCACATCTGGCTAAAGCAAGAAGTAACATAGGCCATCAAAAATTTAACATCAGATTAACACAGTCACAAGGACAGCAATAAAACTGTCACCCGAAGGAAGAACAGGGCTCATTTTGAAGAATACAACACTACCCCATTTTAGTGAAAGCTTCTCCAACAGTATTTTTAATGAGCTACCTTCCTGATTAATAGTATAGGAAAGCTGAACTATATGTGGGCTTCCATACTTTAACTGATCAGTATCCCATTTCTCTTCTGATTTCAGTAATTCAACATGATACTGTAGGTTATCACTTGCATGTCAGCCATGAGGGCAAAGCGTGTCAGGGAGATGTTAGTCCAAGTTTTCACTGCAGCAGACACCCTGGTTGTTCCTTAATGCATTTGTTTTGTTAGCCTATAAAAATTCTTTTCCTAAAGCAGATTAAAACAAGACAACTGAGTACAGGGCAGGATGGGAGTCTTCCCCATTTCCCATTGAATTAATGAGAAAAATCCTAGAAAAATCCTTGACTAAACATAATGCTGACTGTTACTATAGCAGAAAGAAAAATGTATTTGTTTGGCAGGTGAAATTCCAGTATATGAGGAATCGGAGGGCATCACTCAATTAATGCAGTCCATAACATGAATCTGCAGCGTGTCCAAATCAGGGAGAATTTCTTCACATTTGGGACATGAATACACAGAGACATTCCGCTGCTGTGACCAGTCTTGACTACCAGTTCCTGCAAGCAGAGAGGATAAAAGATAACTTGTTATTGATTTTTTTTATTCTTTTTTTTTTTTGTGCAATGGCTGAAGTAAGTCTAGCTCATAACTGCCAGAGAATCACGTTCCCTGCAACTAGCCGGATGCCAGGATAACCAAAGAGAAGTTGGGGATTTGCTTGCAGCCAAGCAAAGCTATTTTAACCCTGCAGAACCTGGTCTTTTTTTTTGGCTAGGGAGGCTTCTTACAGTACCTCTTTGAACAAGATGAGGTGAATGTTCCCGATCTCCTGCTGCCCTGGCTCCATGGCGGTTCTGCATCTCTACCAAATTGCTTCTGAGGAGAACAAAGAAGCGAACGGGGTAGTTACTTAGAAGAACTAAAAGTAAATAAATAAGTAAATAAATAAATAAGTAAATAAAAAATAAATAAATAAATAAAAAAGATGGAGAAGGTTTCCTTCCTATTATTTCCAGAAAAGGTAACAATGAAAATAAATTAGATACGTAAGATTTGTGTCAACCAGTAATGCATGTGGTCCACAACTGCTGCTCAGAAACAGGGTGGAGAATTCAGGCTGTGGAGGACACGGGCTGTGTTAATGCTGCTTTTTTTTTCTCCCCTCTTTTCCATTAAAAGAGCTAAAATAGCGAATGCCCAGGATATCACAGAACTTAACACTGCATGTGCCCACATATTGCCACCCCTTTAAGGCAGAAGCAGATACCCCTGGGACACATCCAGCAAACTTAACTACAGATTCAAAACTAAAATTGAAGGCAAACCCCCAAGAAATGCCTCAAATGAATAAGCAGGTTTATGAATCATCCAAAGCGAAATCTTTCCAGGGCTAGCAAGGATTAAAACACCTTACAGATTTTCTATCACAAAATTAAAAAACAGAAGTCAGTCACCTCTGTTTTTTTTCTCTTTTGAAATTCAAATTAACCAAGAAATAAATGACTTGAAGCCCATCTGTTTCTCTAGGGAGATGCTAGCAGGAATATACTGGTCAGCTCCAGCACACAGAGTAGCAAGACAATCTAACGGTAGCTCAGCTAAGCAGTGCACCTCTTACCGGCTGAGATCTTCAAGGTTTTGCTGCTCTTTCAGCATGTAGGCCAGCTGGAGGGCCAGCTGCTCCTTCTCCTCATGGATCTTCTCTCTTGCTGCCCTCTCGGCGTGGAAATCAGAACAATACACCTCCATCTGATCAGAAAAATTAAATTGTGTTGAGAACTTTTAAGTCTAGATTGAGTCGTACCCATGTAGCATACATCAAAACAGCAAACCCTATTATATCCTGCATGTGCTTAAAACACCCCAACAGTATCTACAGGCTGCAGCGAAAGTGAATTCAGCAAACTGATATAAAATTTGCAGCGAGGGAGCTGGCAGATAACTCCCTTGTTTCTGAAGAGTGGTCAAAGGCACCATCCCTTTGCTGATGAAGAGCTCATACCTGAGCACGGAGCACGGCCATGGTTTCCAAGTCTTCCTCTTGCTTCGCAATTACTTGCTTCATTTCATCCATCTTGAGCTGCTTTGCAGCGAGGGCTTGTTCTGCCAGTTCCACCTTTGCAGAAAGTTCTTTGAAAGCAGCTTTATCCACGTAGTCCAGCTGCAAGGAAGAACTCTCACCTCAAGATATGACATTTCCTCAAGTGGGACAGTTTGCTACTTAGTCCTCCTGCCCTGGCATCTCCCTGGTCATGAAAGGAACTGAAACACCTCAATATTTTATTTTATAGATCTGTTTTGAGCTTTTAAGTTTCAATATAACAAGACAAAAAGAAGTCCCTAATGGACGCTGGAAAAGATAATTTCCCACTTTCCAAAATTCTACAGGAGCTACAAACAGGACCTCATTGTGGTCATCCTATAATTTTAAGATGGCACAAATATTTAGAGGTCTACCTTCCCCAGATAACATATTACAATACAGGAACACGCATATGCCTTTATATATCATTTATATCATTTCTGTCCATGGGCTGGGCTCCAGACTGCAGAGGTTAGACCCTCTTTAGAAAGCAGCATGGAAGTGCTGATGTGTTTCAATAATTGACAACAGAGCATCTGTGTTTTTCAGAGGAGTGCTGAAATTGCAGTGCTGTTATTGCAGTGCTGTTTTCTTATTCTGAGCATACTATGTTGCATGCTCTGTTAGGTAGAAGGGATGACAATAATTTAAATTTGTTCCTAGATACATTCTCCCACCCTTCCCTCTCTACTCCTAATTCATGGTCATTTCTTCTCGTGGTGACTTTACCTCTTTGAGTTTCATGTCATCAATTGTTGTCATCGCCTCAGTGAGTTCAGAGAGGAGTTTGTCGTATGCATCCTGCAAGCCACTAAATTTTGCCCTGTTTTTGAAGAGAAAAAAGAGGTGAAAGTTTTAAAAACTTCAAAATTTTTGAATGTTTCTGTGCTCCTTTCAACATCTTCCATTTTGCAAAACTATCCTGCTTTTCCCAGTGAAGATTTCTTTCATTCTTCCATAAAATTTCAGTTTTCCCAGGTTTAAGACTAAGAATTGTATCTAGAAATCTAAATAATCCACTAGACTTTAGAAAAAAAGATGGTTCTTAAGAATGAATCTGTATCCCTGATGAGAGAAAAATTGGTCTCCATCTCTCTCAATCTCTCTTCCAAGAAATTGCATGCTGCTCTATCTGACTAAGTCTAAACAAATGTTCTTACAGATCTGCATGTCAGATTAAAGAATCTCTCACACAATATTTTTATATCGAGCTCATAAATTCTGTCCCAAATTTCAACACCTCCTTTAAAAAGACCTCCAGGTCTTGACTGAAGGATTCAGTGAGGAAGAATTCACGGTGAAATGAACCATAGACCCCAAAGATAGCGAATATCCTATCAAGCAGCCAAAGACTGATCCTTCAAATAATTCAGCCTCCTGCTACAGCTTGGACTGCCATTTTCACAGTCGTTACCTGGATTGCACAGGAAGGGGAGAGGGGGCATGTAGGCCTCCTCATTACTGTCACTTGCCCATTACTGTCACCCCCTGACTTGTCCTTACCATGTCAGCCTGTGGACACATTTACTCCTGTTCCTCAATAGGAGAGCTGTTGTCACTTTTCTGCTTCGTCTGCTTGTTTATTTAATCTGATCCCAAACACTTCTACCACTTTCTTAGACTTGAAGACAAAATGAAGATACAAGTCAGAACTTACAGCTCAAATTTCCCTAAGCAAGGGGTTACTGAGTAACAGGACTCAGTTTGGGCCTAATATGGAGACGCCAGATTCAAGACATCATAGATGTTCAGGTAATGCAGATTTCTAGTTTAAACTCTACAGACAAACATGGTCTCAACAGAGGGTGAGGACACAAAACTCCTATTTCAGATTCAGCTGGTCAGTTTGGTCAGGATTTCTTTGATTTCCTTCCCTTATTGATAACAGATATCTGAAGTACAAAACCAAGTCATACTTTTCTTCCAGTGTCTTGGCTTGTTCCAGTTTGACCTCTGCCTGCATGCTCTCCACTTGAAGTTCCAGCTTCTTGGCAGTGTATATTAGCTGCTGCTTCTCATCCAGTTCTAATGCAGCAGCAGAGTTTTTCCTTTCGAGTACTTGGCATCTGACAGAACAAGGAAAAAAGATGGTTGGCTTCTTCTGTTCAGCTCTTCTTGGGCATTATACAAAAAATAAATCTTTTTTTTTGTGGTTCATTTTAAAGACTTATTTTGATGAAGAACAAGGAAGGACAAAACTAAGTCTGTACAGATCCATTAGAAGAGGAAGCCAACACTTTTTTTTTTATGATTATGAATCTAAGATTAAAACACGGATTATGTGAAGAAGAAAACAAGAAAGATTTGTCTTTTGAGGAAGGCAGCTCAGATTTTGTCAGAATTATTCAGTTTCTGCACTTGCTCTTCTACTTGCAAAGGAAGAGCAATCTTTTACAGCAGTTCTATGGAGCTGATACTTAAGTTGATATTTGTAGAGATGGTGAGTTTCCCATCAGTTGTCATACAAATATATACTGGGTGTAATAGTAGAATTTTTGTTTTTCTGAATCTTACTTTTCTTGAAGCTTCTTCTGAATCATTTCTGCTTCTTTTAACTTCCCATGGGCCTCCTGAAGCTCTTTAAACAGAGCACACACTTGCAAATTCAGGATTTCTACTTCACTGCCAACCTTACAGAGAAAAAAATAAGGAAAAAATAGGAAAATTGATGATAGAATGCAAGATAGGAAAGTTGCAGGCTA